CTCCGGTTCCCGCGACTTGGCACCTAGGTTGGCTAGGTTGGTGAGCGGTGCGCTGGGGAATTGTCAGGGGGGGGGGAATTGTCCAGGGGGCTTATTTGCGGGGGAGGGCTTATATTTTTGCCCACCAGAAAAATGTGGCATGGCCTTATTATCAGGACATGTCGTATTTTCGGGGAAACACGGTATGTACCTCCCGATTCCCAACAGCTCTGGATGACTCACGACAGTAAGACAAATGAGTTACAATAAAGCCAAGAGAAGGTGATAAGGGTGCAAGCCCAGCCAGACTGGATGGAATGAAGCAGGTGGTCTCGCACCCCCCCCCCCCATTCACCAAAGGTGCTGAGAAGAGTCACCAGGGCTGCTCTAAGCAATGGCAGAGGGAGAGCTGCCTGGATCTCAGCAGGAGCCTCCTGCCAGGGGCTGGGATCCAGCTTTGCTAAAACCAGAGTTATTCCCCTTTTCACTCACGTCCTCCTCTGGACAAAGAGGGTGGGAAGTTCATTCCTGACGTGTAAATGCTTAAGTGCTGCCTTCCGTATTTTGTCCCTTTAATACGGGGGAAAGCCCAACGTTCCTCTAGTGGAACGTTGCGATGGTTTTTACTCCCCATTGTGTCACATTTTCTCCGGTGCGTTTATCTAGCCCCTTTTAACTTTTTCTGATACAAAACATAGTTTTCAGACAAGCATATTTAGTCCCAAACCCGGGTAGCTTCTTTCTGCTACTTTTTATGCTGATTTCAAGAGTCGTTTCACGTAAACCGTATCAGGGGGCAACATTTGAGCAACATTTCTCAGGCCCAGCCAAGGTGCCCTCGGTGGCGCAGGTAGTGGGGGGCGGTGCCCTCTTCGCCAGGGCAACTGGGAACAGGAGAGCCACCTGTTGTGCTTCTTCCCCGTTTCCCCCGCAGGCTCTTAAAGGGGGCTTTGCTCGGCTCAAGAGCTGCTTTGCGGAGCTTTGTGCCTTGCCAAAAGAAGGGGCCTTCCAGCCCAGAGAAGAGGCGGTGGTTCAAGCGGTGCTGGACGGGTTGCAGCAGTTCAAACAGTTCACGGGTGAAGGCATGGCCGGAGCGCCTCTCAGCAGCTCTTCTGTGGAGGTAAGGAAGTGGGCGGGGCCGAAAGGGCGGAGGTCCAGCGCATCTGAAGAGGGGCCCAAAGCAGAGACAAGGCGGAGCAGCCCAAGCGTCATCCAGAGAATTCCACAGGGCCCCCCCCCCTTGGGGCCGTCATGGGCAGACCCTGCTGTTGTTCTGCCGTAACCGTGGCCTGCTGGGTGCATCCGGTGTAAGGCTTTGGGCAAAAGCAACCAGTATATTTTTGGATAAAAGTTCACTGGGAGTTCTTGGAGTTGGTTGCACCCAATGGATGCCAAGAAATGTTTCTGAATATTTCTACAAAGATTTTTTCTAGAAGAAAATAACAATTGTAAAAAAAGGTTTTTTTTTCTTGTAAAACAAACATTTCATCATTCGTCAATTAGTGTGTCGCCTGAGTACAAATTTTTTTGTGTGTCATAATAGCTACAGCTTACCACCAAATTCTTTATATACATCTGTTCTTATTTTAACATTATACATATCTCCTGTTATAACATTTCTCTTCCTAAATTATTTAATTTTATGCTTTTTATCCATATTGGTTTTCTAACCAATGATAAAATTATAATAACCTGATTCTTACTTTCTTTTAACTGCTAGTGTTAATCTACTCATT